CTCTCTCTCTCTCTCTCTCTCTCTCTCTCTCTCTCTCTCTCTCTCTCTCTCTCTCTCTCTCTCACAGCTCCTCCACTTCTCCGTTTCCTCCAACGATGCCCTCTCTCCTTCTGACTCGTCACTTTGACGGCCCCAAGGAGACGACCCGCTTCTACGGTATGTGTGCTGCTAAGGAAGGCACCCTGACAGCAAACGAAGATGGCGATCAGGATGAGGACGTGACCACCGCATCGTTTATGACGAGGACAAACGATATCTGGTCTTTCATGATAAACAGAATGGCCGCGCGATCACGACTCACAAAAATATTCAAAATGAGAGTGAATCTTCCTCTATAATACGTAAATATTAATCAATTTACCACCTGACCCTCACTCAAACCATTTTACACTGCGCAGGTCCTACCTTCACTAGCACAAAAACTAAAGCCTCTCTGCCAACTAAGACCACCAATCAACACCTCGCAGCTCCAAAACCCCGGTTTTGCATCTTCATTCACCCCTTCTTATTGAGTATAGGCAAAATACTATAATTTTACTCCCGACATGGCCGCTTCGTTTTATATCACGCAGCCCCTACCTCTGATAGCTCAAAATCCGCTGCTCCGATTCAAAATCTGGTGCGGCCATCTGATCAGGAATGGCCCAAAACCTCCGATTAGCATCTTTACTCGCTCAATTGCATTAAGAATTGAGTGAGATACACTCTTTTCTTCTCTCGTTTTTCGTTGACCACCTCAATCCCCGTCACGTTCACGCTCTCTCTTTTCGTGTTATGTTCTCTCCCACTAATTCTCATCCAGATCTGAGCGCAGATTCATGGTCGCCTGCCCCAAAAATTTCAACTTGGACCTTCACCCTGCCCGATTCCATTTGTGTTGAGCAGGCTACGGTTTTTTCCCTTCGCCATATCCACTTCCCACCTTCGTCACTTTCCCTTTCTCACCTTCACGTACCTGGACCAGATCCCGGCCAGGTCCATGCACCTTCCTTCAGCAGTTTTGCTTCCTCTTTCTCCCGTCTACTGTAGATGAAGTGTTCACTCTATCAGGGGAGTGCCCCTCCTTGGATGATGACGAAGAACAATCAACTCGAGGAGATGGAGATCTGCTACGTTGAAGAAGCACCACGTGAAGTGTAGCTTTGGTGGCTACTGTCCTCACCCCGCCAGGTACATGACGGTGGGAAAATGCTCACTGGTACTTTAGCGCTGTGGCCTGTTCAGTCACTAATAGAGCTGCCCGGCCCCAGCTGTGGCCATCAGCGGTGCGTGAGGGAGATGCCCTGTATGCGCCCACAAAATAGCGCAGCAAGGAAGCAAACGCTGTTTGCACCAAAAAGCACTAGGAGAAAGGTAGACTGAGCGAACCTCATCTTCGTCGGCCTCCAATCTTTTCTACCTGAATTCTCTACTATAACACAACAGTCCTCTTACTAACCTATCTGTCCGTCCAGACAGCTAACATCTACGGCCAAACTTTCAAGATCTGCCTACATGCACCTAGATGGGAATGCAATCAGACTCGCATTCATTCACACTTCACACGTATGCAAACAGGTTGCGCAGCAAACTGGCGCCAGGCACCCTTTCAGAACTCAGAGATATAGTACCAAGAACTCAGTTCAGATACAAGTTCACTTCCACTGGCTATGGCGTCACATCTCCTGAACAACTCTCTGTCGTCACTCACTCCACCGCTGTTCGCACACAGGATCACCCTGGATACCCCACACGCAACACCCTGTACCCTTGCGCACACACTCACACACACCTACAGCTATGGTGGCTATGGCCGCTTCTACCCTATCTCTATGGCTAACTCCTTCTCGCCCACTTCGTCCTCGGGCTCACTGCAGACCACCTCGCACAAGTCGCTGTGGCAGAGCTTCTGCATGGCTTACGCAGGAATGAATGAATGGCTGGACGCTGCCTCCTGATTTATACCTCTGTAGCTCCCTGGTCTGGCCCTTTTCCATTGGCCCATTGTGCACACAGTCCCGTATGGTACTTGCTGGACTGGACTGGGACTGACTGGACCGTACCGCTGACTGCATGGGGTTGGACCGCAACCTCACTGCAGTTGCACTGCCAACACACTGAGGTTGGCTCCACCACTTGCCCACTTGCCTCTGCCTAACGTGAGTTTACTCCGAAAGGCCACTTCCGGAAGTCTGTAGACTTGGCCTTTCGGTACTGTAGCAGCTACGACCTTGACCTTTCAGGACTGTAGCAGCTACGACCTTGACCCTTCGGACAGGCTACAGGTACGACTTCGAGAACTCACTAGGACTCCTATCCGACAGGTCTACAGATCGAACCCCTACCCCTACACTGACCTACGACAGACAACAACAACTGTCAAAACACAGGTCATGGGTTCAAACACTCGGGGTCAACACAGATACTGTACACAGGTAAGGTGTGAACTAGGGATCGAGCCCTAGGATCTGCGCTCGCTACTGCTGACAGGTGAAAACCGTTTCACTCTGGCCGGCCTAAATTCGAGGTCCTCCGAGAATAATTCAGTCCAAGGCAGGACCTTTCCCTTTCTTATCTCTCTCATAGGCTCTAACTATGTCGGGAGCTGTCTCTAGAAGTTCGGTTCTTGTAAGCCAGCGGTCGTCCTCTGGCTCCTGATAGGCAAATCGGACCTTATATTGTTTCTGTGGACGACCTCTACCTCCTGTTCTGAACACATCTTCACCTACGATGCCGTCAATGTCGTACCTGCCATCCATATCCGGAGGGATCATAGACCTCCTCGATGGGAACTGATCACTCACTGTGCAGGGCAACAACTTGGATGTATGGAAGACCGGGTAGGTGTGGAGGTGTGTTGGGATCTCTACTGTGTAGGACGGCGCATCCTCTCACACACACAATCTCCCATGCATGTCACAGGGAAAAATATGCGCAGCAGAAGACTTGTCCTTGCAACGTGATTATCACACTGACAGCGTGATCATCCCCAGAGTCTCCTGACAACCAATCACAAGAGAGTCACCGAGTAGATCACATCCAGAGATTCAATGAACACTGAGATAGCAATTACAGAATATCAGAGTATAAGAGTTCCATCACATCAGAAATTGTCTCAGAACCATATGGCACTGCTCAAAGGGAGCAGCGCTTCCTCTGTTTCTACTGAGTAGCTTCACTCCTCTCCCCAGGACCCTGAAACAACAATCGCCACCTAGCTAGGGCCTCCTGAGGACCTGCGCCACCCAACAGAAGAAGAAGAAGGCCAGCGCCACAGTGTCTGATGAAGATGGAGCCTCAAGTCTGATGAAGTTGGAGCCTCAGATGTCCTCCCTGATGAAGATCGGAAGCTGCGCCACCCTTTCTGATGAAGAAGACGACCTCTGAGAACACTTGCTGCAGCTCACCACTTTGAAGCTTCCAGCAGACCTCCTCCAGATAGCCCGGTCTCCTGACAGTCCCAACGTACTGCAGGAGGCTAGAGGAGCCCCAGCTATGGCTGCCTCTCCAAGGACGGGGCTATGGTCAACGTCTCTCACGTGCTCCCACGCGTAGCAGTAGTAGACAGTCTCTCGCCAGAAAACAGCTCCAGCGCCAGAATGACGAAACTACCAAAAGCCTCGAACAGACCTCTGCATTCTATTAATAGCTCTACCCTAGCCTAGACTCGACCTATACCGGACTGACTGGACCGACCGGTACCGTTTCAGTTTTGGCCTCTAGGGCCTCTCCCTACCCAGCTATAGGCTATAGGACCGTCTAGCAGCGTAGGCCTTAGGGCCTGTCTGTCCTAGTGGTAGCCCGGGCCTGCTATCCACAGTTAGGGTAGCTGCAGGGAATTCGAGTTAGTGCGGGCCTATGATTTTCCCCAAATTTGCAGATACATCCCTCACGAGTTTCCTCACAGTCAGATATCCCGGTTAGCCCTCAGCCAAACAAAATTATGAATCTGGCCTGCCTATGGTACAGCCTTAACTCGACGGGCTACAGGTCAGTGAAACCAGCAAGGCATTGCACATCTATATTCTACTTTTTGTTCGTGTGATATTCTATACTTAGTATCCTTTTAACGTACTGTAATTCTCTTCCTTTGATTACTACAACTCTCGCACCGTTACCCCCTGAGATGATGTTTCATCAGCTCTCCTTGTGGGATTTAAACCACTGGAACTGTGGGGGTGCGTTCCTCGTGGGCATTGGACACGTCGCTCCCTCTCATTCTGTCTCATTTCCAGCGACCCCGGCAAGGGAGACAGAAGCGGGGGTCCAACAAATGAAGGGGCAGGTTTGAGGGCACCTATTTTTTGCCTAGGCATATCCTTATGATGGACAAAGGAGGGGGGGGTGGGGGAGGGAATCGAGGAGAAGAGGACTATTCACTCACTTTGCCTGGAATTCGAAAATGATTGTGGCAGATTGCTGGAAGGAAAACCCAGCAGAACGACCGAGCTATGAAGACATCCTGAGGCGGCTGTATGAATGCGAATTTTCGTGAAGATGCAGCTCCCGAGTAACTTGTCCCTATTTGGAGAATCAATCGACGAGCAAGCATTTGACTGTATGACATCGAGGCAGCTATTGGGGGGCATTATTGTCGTGAAGAACCTGCCGCAGAGCCGAAAAAGGGACCAGGGTGTTAGGGGATGTGGGGGAGGCATGCAAGAAGATGGATGGATGGTCAGGCAAAGAGGAGGCATGGAAGAAGATGGATGGATGGTCGGGGAAAGAGGTGGCAGTGAGGTCAAGAAAGCAACGATGTTTTGGAGGCTGAGATGCAATGCACATGCGCACACTAGATGTGTAGAGGCAGTTGTTTGCAAGAGAGGCACTAGAGGTGGTTCGGAACAACGAAAGACGGTTGTGTGGTTTCATCAACTGCTGCTGTGGAGGGTGCATACCAGATGCAATGCAAATGCGCACACGAGATCTGTAGGGGCAGTTGTTTGCTAGGTGCTGGAGGTGTGAAGTCGCAAGAGATGGTTGTCTGGAGGGTGCACTCAAGATGCGATGGAAATACACACACAAGATATGTATAGGCAGTTGTTTTCAAGAGAGGCACTAGAGTTGCAGAAGAGTAAGAGATGGTTGTGGGGTTTCATCAACTGCTGTGGAAGGCGCATATGCAAGAAGAGTGTGGAGATGGTGAAGGCGTGGGATATGGTTTAAGTGGTGGTGGCTGTCAAAATGATATGAATAAGAGAAAAATGAAGATGGAGAGTTTGTTATGGGCTAGAGAAGGGGAAGGTCTAGGATAAGAAGAAGAAGGGCAATAGCTGCAATACGGATTAGGAAAAGGGGACTGAGGATGAGATAGAAGAGGATGACAGTGTTGGATATTGGAAGCATAGCGTGTTTAGCTATCTGAATGTCAGATCTTGCATGAAATTGAATGAATGAATGGCTTTACAGCTGTCATTGCCGTTGTCAAGTAATGGACATGGAGTGGACTGCACCATGTTGGAATGATT